ATTAATTAAAACATACATATTTGTTTTACATTAATTTCTGTAACTACAACTAGGGTCCATTTTCTTGGTTTCAGACGGGAACCATTGTAGGTGTAAATATTGACAACAACAATGGTGTCTGTCTTGTCTTGTGTGACTGCAGATTATTATTGATTTATATTGTATATGGATTTCACAAACATTATTTGAGAATATAGCTTTTATTTTCATTAATTTACTGTTGGAAAAAATAAGCCACACAAGATATGAAAAGGTCACACTGAATGCATCTCATTATTATTGCTTTATATTAAATTAATGATTCACGTCGATGATTCACCTTACTGCAATATGGAGGACACATTACCATCGTTATTCAAGCTTTACTGTAGTTGTCATTAGGATCATTGTTTCCTACATATTGGGTCCATTTCGTAATGTTAAAGAACATTTGCCAGTCTCAGAGACATTTAAACTTGGAACAGCTCATACAGGTTTCTGCACTGTTGTATCTCGCCTTTACTTGCCACTTTCCCAAATATCTTTATGTTGTCTGCGAACTTGACAATGAAACTTGATAAATTTTCATCTGTGTCGTTTATGTAGATCACAAACAGGGTGGGTCCAACAAGAGAGCCTTGTGTTATGCCACTGAAATCCTTTTTCTATTCAGAATGTACTCCATTTATGACCATTCTTTATTGCCAGTCTTGATCCAGTTGTTTAATCCACTTCAAAATCATACCTGCAATGCCATGTGCCTGGATCTTTCGAGGCTAGTTTGCATATGGGACTTTGTCAATTGCCTTGGAGAAATCCATGTACAACACACCCACTGGTGAGCTTTGATCCCGTAGTCTGTTACTGTTTCAAGTAACATTAAGTTTGTCAAGCAGGATTTTTTTCCACGAAACCATTTTGTAATACAGGCGTCCTCACTTAACGTAAGGGTCCGTTCCTTAAAATGAGACATTATGTGAAACAATGTGGATCAATTTTTCCCAGAAGAAATAGATAAAATCTGGAGTTATGTTCCTAGCCTCCCTTTGCCCCATGGAAAAGGTTACATATACTGTCCAGAAAACCATTGGCATTTTTTAGAATAGTATATAGAACTACAGTACTAAGTTTGTATTGGTACTCACCGATGGGCATAGGTGGTAGAGCGAGGTGTGTGGTGGGTAGTGGAGCGAAGGAGGAGGATGGGGGAGCAGAGGAGGAGGGTGGGAGCGGGAGGGAAGGTGGGAGCAGGAGGGTGGTGAGTCACTGAGACTCTCGACCTCCCCCTCCTCCTGCTCTGACTGGGGTTCCTCCACCACTGCTTGCTCCTCCTCCATTATTGGCGGGAATGTCTCGGCAGCAACCATACCTGAACTGGCAGTTTCACCAGTCATCTTAATACAGTATTGTGGAAGTTATACTTGGCAAATCGTTGAAACCAGCCTTGGGTAGCCGTAAGGTCTCTTCCTTAATCCTTCACCCTCTTCTTGCTTTAAGTAGTCAAGCAAGGATCTGGCCTTATGCTGGATCACCGTAAGGCTCACAGGGCCATTGCATTTATTCTGATCCTCCATTTTTTCCACCTTCTCTATCACAGTGCTTTATGCGTGTGTGTCTTAGTGTAGCGAAGACACTTCCAGCACTAACCTTAATCTTATCAGCATTGGTCTGGATATCCGCACCGTTGTGGGGGTTAGACCAAGCACAGTAGCTATGCCCACAGTACGTCTCCTTTTTCAAATCATCATTTTTGTAGAGGGTAATGGTCTTCACGTTGCCTCTTCACTACACAAGCATCAGTAGCACTTGATGGGCGCTTGGAAGCTATTCGAATGGTTAGAGTACAGTTTAGAGCAAAACACTTAGGCACACACGAATGATGTGAAGCTGTAACAGAGAATGGCTGGCGTCGGCTGGGACAATGTGATGTTCTTGGCAGTGAGGGCAGTGGCCCGAGCTGAAGAGCATAAGCGGCCAGAAGAGCAGGTGATCGCCATAGAAAGTAGTCTGTGATGCCGCAAAACAACATAGTATCGGATCACCGGGACGTTAAAGCGAATTTTGGTTTCTAAAGTTCAGCTCGTAGTACGGAAACAACGGTTAAAGAACGGCGTTAAGTAAGGACTTAATGTACATCAACAATAAAAAATTAAATATGAAACAACTCTCTTGGTTGAAAATCAGACATAAGTCTGGTTGTCACTGAGATGTTTGTTGTTTACTGTAATGTGTTATATGTAAGTAACCAAGAATTTATCTTATGAATAAAGAAAACTGTATACGGTATTATGGTGCAGTACTATAAAATAAGAACAAATAAGGGTAGGAGTATATTGTATGTGGAAGACAAATGTATTTCTGTGAGCAGCTGGCAGTGAGGTAGGGGGTGGGGGATTGGCATGGGTGGGTGGCTCCCTCACAAGATTCCTAACACTTCTTTATGCAACTGCACACATTCTCATATAATTTAGTATCATTTGGTGACAGGTGGATAAAATATTATCTAAAAGAATCATCTTTCCTGAAAAAAAGAATCACACTGAACACCATGAGTCATTTGTTTACTGAGAGCAAACAGCTGAGCAGCTTCCCACAATGTCTGTCTTCAACACTTAGTAAATTAGTACAATACAGTTGTGTATTTATCATCATAATAAATACTATTATAGTGTATATTTATCACCACTTAATACTACTGCAGTGTATTTATCATCACTTACTAAGAAATATTTAGTAGTGTAAAGTATTATGCATCTGCATATACCCTGGTTTATTCATTAATCCGTCTAAATACAAGTAGCCAAACTGAGTCATCATATAACACACAGAGAGAGTAAATAACGTTTAAAGAAGGTATCTTCATCAAATACTATACAGTGTGTCATAGTGACCACTGTTGCAAGCTGATCTACTGAAAGCTCACATGAATGCATCTGAGTAAACAACCTTCTGATACAGTTTATCCTTTTATTTTCAAGCCATATTACAAATTACATACAGTATTGTATTTTTCTCTATTACTGAAGATGTTATATTAATCATGATGAACCATAAACCATAATAGGCCAATGATATGAGAATATAATACTGAATCAATAAATAAATAAATCTGACAAATGTGGCAACACATTAGCAAAATTCCATAAGGGCAGATTTTTTGGGCATATCGATTTGTTTGCCATAATTTCCAAATTATTATGCGTATGAATTTCCATAAGGTTGGGGATGCCTGTAAAATACAAAACAATAAAATAAGAAAAATTAAGAACATGTGTGTGTGTGTGTGTGTGTGTGTGTGTGTGTGTGTGTGTGTAATATGTAATATGTAATTAGCGGTTTTATTGAAAAAGTTCTGCAGCCGAAGGCTGAAAATATACATTGGACATAAATGACTTATTACATACATTGGTGGTTTAACAAAAGCCTTCATTAGAAAGGTAAAAGACATACAGTGAACATACAGATTAATGTAGGTGTTGAACAGCAAAACAATAGTGTAGTAACTCCTCCCAGATGGTGTTAGAGGGACCTCCGCGTGGTGTAGTAGTTCCTCACAGATGGTGTTATGAGGGCCTCACGTGGTGTAGTAATCCCTCACAGATGGTGTTATGAGGGGCCTCACGTGGTGTAGTAATTCCCTCACAGATGGTGTTATGAGGGGCCTCACGTGGTGTAGTAATTCCTCAATGGTGTTGAGGGCCTCCGTTAGTAATTCCCTCACAGATGGTGTTATGAGGGGCCTCACGTGGTGTAGTAATTCCCTCACAGATGGTGTTATGAGGGGCCTCACGTGGTGTAGTAATTCCCTCACAGATGGTGTTATGAGGGGCCTCACGTGGTGTAGTAATTCCCTCACAGATGGTGTTATAGGGGCCTCACGTGGTGTAGTAACTCCTTCACATATGGTGTTATGAGGGGCCTCACATGGTGTAGTAATTCCCTCACAGATGGTGTTATATGAGTGAGGTGTGGTTCCAGGCCTTCCTATCGTGAGCGGATTAACACATCGCTGGTAGTTGGGTCTCAGGGCCGTTATCACTGGTACCTGGGACCTCACTGTGTGAAAAGGTCAACTGGTACCACTGTTACTGTTGAGTTGTTCTCACTGACAGCACTGTTCACCACTGTTCACCTCTGTTTAACACTGGTTCCATTTCTTTCCTAAATGAAATAGTAACTTCTGGCGTGAACTTGTTGATATTCCGGTGGGAGGAGGGTTCAGGGGAGGGAGTTGGTATGGGCCAACATAACAGTTGACCTGGCTGCTCGAGGAGCGCCAGATGCGTCTTGACCCGGTTGGTCAAGGATGTGTGTGTGTGTTGTGTGTGGGCGGTGGGGCCATTGTGTGGGCATGCTCCTCCTGATGAGACATCACAGCATACACACAGTGCAGAGTGGCAACCTTACATTTGTGAGTCAGTTGGTTGAAGTAGGTCACGTCACCCAGAGGATGGTTTGAGTGTGGAAGGAGCTATTCTTAGTACATAAAATATTTGCTATTGTATTTTATAATACAGTATATACTATTTATTGATTTTATTGTTTATCATAGCAATAAATATGGCAGCTCATCCTTGCACCTGGTATTCAAACTTCGTTGGGGGTCCCGGGTTATGAATGAGTTCTGTTCCTGAGGGCGTTCTTAAGTCGGTTGTATTTAAGTCGGAACACATGCTCACGTCACCTGTAATAGTACTGTACTTCAGAACAATGTCAAAATCCCACTATATCCTAGCCTAAGTCATATATACATCTAAAATCACTTAATTTAAGACAAAAGAAAGAAATAAAATGACAAAATACAAAAATGAAAGTAAAAAATAAGTCATAAGGTACTGTAAATAAAATGCTGTTAATTTCAAGTTTAACCTTGTTCGTATCAGCGGGCGTTCCTAAGTGGGGGCCCTGTACTAGCTGATTTTGGAGGAATTTTCATTTTATGATTACAGTATTTCATCTTGGAAACTATCAAGACAAAATTGAAGTGATCAAATCAATCTGAAACTTAAAGTTCAACTTACCATTTCAACCTGCAAGCCTTCAGTCTCTTTCAGTCATCATCAGTATAGTTCACAGTTGCAATGACTAAGGGTTCAACACCCTGCAACATGAATTATTTATTACTTTTCTATCACTGGGTGTTTATTTCAAAAGGAAAATGTATAAATTCAAGAAAAGGAATGTAAGGAAGCATTTTATGCTATCTGAGGTAAATGAAAATAGTCAATGATAGTGTGAAGGATAGTACAGCAAGATGCTGGGTCGCATTAACCCATGAGCTTGGGCTATGGTCAGCAACCCCTCCCGGAGGGTATACAGTATTGTAGCATTTAAAAAAATAAATAAAAAAATTTGTCTTACAAACTGGCCATGCATGATATTAACAAACAAACAATAAATAAATAAATAAATAAATGTACTCACCACAGGCTGGCAACACGGGGCTAGATGAGCCGAGAATGTTTAAGTGGCATGTGTGTGTGTAACTCACAATGTGAGGTAGAAAACAACACTAATTTGTATGCAGTCTGAGGTACAGGACACTTGTTTTACTATGTTATTAATATTTACATTATTAATCATTATCACTGCTCCAGTAATTGTTCACAATACTAGACTTGTGCTTGAGGGTTAAGGGGTAGAAACACATGGTGAAGTGAGTCAAGTCAAAGGGCAAGATTCCTACATCACAAAAGCTGAGAAGCTACTGAAGAGACTGGGAGGCTCATGTGTGAATAAGTGAAAGATAAATACCTACTTCACAATATAATCTGCAGGCCCACCCTTTTTCATTTAAATAGGCCCATGAAAGATCAAAAGCACGTATGTGACATGACCAGCTCTACAGACATACATCACAGGATGACCGAAGCCTAAGGTCAACCTCTTCTCTGAGGACACCACTTTTAATATAGTGTTTTATTTGACTAATGTCAGAAAAATTTTTAGTACAATGAGACCCCTGTACATCAAAGGGCTAAAGAATGTTCTGTTAAGCATGACTTACAAGGTCTGTGGTTGGAAAGAATGGAGAAGCCAAGCAGGTAGCAACATGGAAATAATATGGTGAAGTGAACAGGGTGATAAAGGAGAAAGAAGATCATATAAGGTCTGGAAAATAAGTGTGATATGGGAGAGTATCTAGAGCCCAAATCAAGGGAAAGAATAGAGGTAAACAGGGCTCAGAAGAATAATTGATTGATTGATTGTGGCAATTACATCCCTGGCAACACAACAGCTGAGGTCATATATCGCCGAATTAAAATAAAAGCAAAGACCAAAATTAAACAATGCAAGGTAAAAAAACATAAGTAATAAATAACAGAACTTTTTGTAAAAAATCATTTGAACGTTGATAGATAAAACTCAAAGCTTGTGTAGAGACCGGTTTCCTCCATGAAGTATTGGACATCCTTCACGTCTACCACCCCCCAGCACCAAGAGAGATGATAAAACCTGTCTCCCCCAAGCACTGGAGGTGCTTATGACCAAGATCTCTGAGACCGAGGCACTCCACCAGGAAGTGTCAAACAGTCGATAGGACTAGGCAGTCATCACAATGGGGAGGCGCCCTTTCCATTAAAAACCATGAGTCAGCCGAGGTGGCCAATGGGAGGTGGGCCAAGCAGTCTCCTGGTGGGCCAGCAGTCCTGATCACCAGGCATCCAATGCAGGATGGACGTTGTGATGCTTGTTTGCTCCAGCATCCCACCTGCATTGCCAACTCGAGCAGATGGCAGCTCTAATTACTAGCTTATATCAGAGTAGGTAGAAGGAATGATATGCCACGGGCGAGAAGAAGCTGCATTCGCACAGCATCAATACACTCATTTCCTTCTTCCCCACTGGGCCAGAACCAGCAAAACTGCCTTTCGGCCCACGACGTTGGATGAGAAACAGCCAATGTAAAATATCTATAATTAAGGAATGGGGCGATGAGACACTAGCTAAGGCCTAGAGAGCACTAAAGAATCACTAAAAATTTAAAATCGCGATGAGGTTGGGTAAAAATAGTCTTGAGGGCAGTAAATACCCGGCGGCATTGCTGTAAAATAGATGCCATAGTGGGAGACTACCGTCCCAACAGAAACAAGGAAAGACCACCAAAACCCACCCCTGCATCTGACTTAGAGCCGTCGGTGTAAATAGAGATAGTCCTCTGTGAGAGGAGGCATGTTCTAAAAGAGATAAACCACACAGGAAAGATAAGTCCTCCCTTTTGTTAAAATATGTACTGACAAACTTGAACTTCAGGGAGAATCCACTGAGTGGCAATAGGGAACCACATGGGCATACCTGAACAGAGGGAAAACAAAGAATACTCTACCTTCTACCCTGAAGCCAAGGTGTTCGGAGGCCTGGATGCTGAGTGTAGTGTGGGGGCATAGTCTCATGAACTACATAAGTGTTGGTTGAACTGTGGAAGGCAGTGGAGGTAAAACCAACACTGGACCTGGAGATACTGACATGAAAGATCAGGGGTGGCTCATCAGCATCAACTAGTAGACTTGGGATTGGCAAGGACTGAAGGCACCAGTCGCCAGGCACACCCCAGCATGTTGAATAGAGTTCAGTGTGTTGGAGTAGTCTAAGTGGCTGAGTAGTACATCTCAAACCCATAATCCAGTTTGGGTCTAACTAGCATGTGGTAAAGGTGTGGCGAGTTCCTTGGTCAGCACAACATGATGTGTGCCCCAAGACTCTCAACTTCAGAGCACACTGGCAAGACTCTTTTAGGTAATGGATATGTGCTTGCCATAAGCCAGTTATCGAAGATAATTCCCAGGAAATGGGTCTCTGTGACACACCACACAATAACCATAGAGCTGTAGATCAGGATCTGGGTGAACACCTCGAAGGTGACAGAAATGCATGGCACTGGTCTTCAAGATAGAAAATCTGAAGCCATGCTCTGTGGTTCATCAAGAACCCTTGTCTAGTATAAATTCATATGCGACGTTCAGCCTGAACCGAAGACTCAAAATAAACAAAGCACCAATTGTTGAATGGCAGATTGATATGGTAAAAGAAGGGCATTCTTCTCCAATGTAGTATACTAATTGTGAGTTGACAATCTTTTCAAATAGCTTGCAGATACTGGAGGTCAGAGCTGTAGGTCAATTTTCTGTTGGTGAAGACTCACTCCAGTCTTCTTTAAAAGGCAGGACAGTTAGCCTCCACCGAGGACAGAAAAGCCTCTAGCCAGATATTGTAAGCTCCAACAGAAAGGTCTGTGCCTCGCTTCAAGGTTGGCAGGAGTAATGGGATATCATCAGGCCCCTGGTGATGTATCTCCAGTGAGTGAGAGGAGCCCGGTTCTCATTTTCTTTCGTGAGAACATAATGTTGGATCTCTTACACGTCCTCAAAATCCAGGAGCCCGCAGCTCTATACTCCAACCGCTTGAACTCTGGAAGACACCTATGCAAATACTGTGGCAAAAACTCCTTATTGAGGAGACGTGGCAGGCTGCCGTCTAACTGGCCCACTGAGAACTGGGGTAGGATTAGATGGCTTTTGACTGCTACATTTTCATACTTGGGACAAGAGGAGTTTTTCACGTTTAGAGAGACTATAAGGACTGGTGACAGGCATTCTTTAAAACGATGAGCTTGGAACAGATCGCTGTATAATCAGAATTCTGTCCTATGATGCCCAAAAAGGTGACCATAAGCTCTGCGTTATCAACAACACCTGCTTGCACTCCTCAATCTTATAAGGAACAGGTAGGTAGAACTACACGACCAGAGGTCCTGGGAATAGAACAGTGACCAGCCCCACAGAGGTGGCTGGCTAAAGTATTCAACAACTAAATGCTACAAAAAGTGTTCCAGTGCTCCTGTCTGCAGCTACTAGTTCATGAAAAAGGTCACAGTCTTAACATGTCTAGCCACTAAAGGGGAGCTCGTGCCAGCCGAGGAGGACTTCTGCTGGACACGATAATGGGTGATATCACCAGTATTTATATACGGGTCCATTACTTCAATGATCAAAGTTATCAGTCACCCCTTGAATTAAATATTGTATCACTTAGAGGGTATGCCTTCATTAAAATTACCAGAGAATAAGATAGGGAGAAAAATGTTGATGAATTAATGAAACCAAATCCTCCACTGGTAATTGGTTGCACCTAAGTGGAGATAAATTAAGCATATGGTACATAGGTTTGGTGGAGATGAATCTTGCAAGCTATTGCCTGCAACTTTAGGTAGTAGGTGAACATATTGATAACAAAAGTATACGATATTTTGATACAAACCATATACTTGAAAGTATAGAAGCTAATGAAATTAGGTATCGAAATTGCTAGCAAATTGCTTCAGTAAAATTAGCCAAATAATCTTATAAGGGTTATCAGTAGCTTCACAAATTACCATTATTGAGTGTCTAGTAGCCCAGCCCTTGCGAGTGTACTTACAGGCTTCAGGAGGAGAATTTAAGAGGTAAGGAGGATGGAGCGTATCTCTGTGCCTCTAGTGTTGTGCTGCCAATTGCCATAAAACTACAGGTTTATGGCACAAACTCTTCCTAACAACCGTCTAACACTCCATTTCGTCACTTACTTGGGGAAATGAATAAATGGTAAATTACAATAAGAATAGCCTTTAGTAGTATAATAATATTATAAAATAGATAAACGCAATGCAATTAAAAAATTCAGCGGAAGTATGACACTATGGGGAACTAAAACCTACCTACTCGCGTTCTCCGTGTGCAAGTACCTGTCAAGTTTTGTTTCTCCAGAGATATACTATACCACTCTCTAGTTACTCTGACCCGTAGCCCGACACAATAACTTCTGTTACTACTAGAAAAAGAAAAGAAGCAGTGTGGCTGTATTTTGACAATGACAAAAGAAATTCAAGTCAAGTAATGTATAAGATATTATTTTTAACCGTTACCTACAAAAAAAGCCGTTTTTTTTCTCAAAAACAGTTTTGAGAGATATAGTCAGAATGTGACGTCACAACTTTATACCCAGGTATGTAAATGCCTAGCATTAACTCACCAGGCCAACTTATACGAACGGTAAACATCTGTAATTGCCCATCGTAATACGATGATCCCTCGGTTAACGAGCAGTTCGATAAACAAGAAATTCGG